AACATTTAATCAGAATATCTTTCATTCTCATTTATGTTTTCATAATAATTATTGATTTTTGTAATATTGTATATCATGCTACATTCACATATTTCAATCATAGAGGAGAAATACTCGAGATTCAGTTATCCAAAATGAATTATCATTACGCGACAGAGATGTTCATCGCGGCTCGAAATCTGCCGCTGCCGCGCCGCGATGATTTTCCAAAAAGTGTGCCGCTGCCGCGATGATACTCGAAAAAAGTTTCGAATTTCATTCCTGTGAATGTATTGAAATACAATTCTTGTCACTAATCGATGAGATTCATTGAGTCTTAGAGTGTTACGTCTGTGGACATTCAATTTTTGTGCAAATTCATGCAGTTTTTGCAATGTCTTCTAGAAATAAGGTGCCGCTGCCGCGACTGTATTGCTAAAAAATCTCCCACGCCGCTACCGCGGCAGCACCGCGATTGACATCTCTGTTACGCGATGGAAATTCAATGAAACCAGATTGACTATTAATTCAAAAACGATTCTATTGATAATTTATTTATATAAAATATAAATGAATTTTTGTAAAATCTAACCTTTGAAATAATAGCAGATTGTTCATATTTTAATGTTTGTATTTCTGATTGTGTTGTATTAAGTTCAGTTTCTCTCTTTTCTAATAAATGTAATGAATTTTGATTTGCTTCTTTTAGTGAGATTAACAATGATTCATATTCATTAGACTAAAAAAAAAAGAACAATAAAAATATATAAATTTTTTTGTTATTTAATAATGAATAATTGAATTACTTTTTCATGATAAGAATGTTGATTTAATTCTAATGTATTTTCTAATGATTGATTTTGTATATGAAGATTATTTAATTGTTTTTCTAATTTTTCTACTGTTTCTTGTAATAAATGATTTTCACTTGTATATCCAACAATATCATTTTCAAATTTTTCAATCTAAGATTAAAAAAAAACAAAAGAAAAATTTAAAATGTATTTTGTTGTTATTTATTAATAATTACTTTTTTATTAGAATTCATCATATTTTTCATTAATTGATCATGTTTAAATGTTGTTTCATTTAATGTATGTTTTAATTTTTCAATAGTTATTTGTGCTTCGGAATGAACTTGAACTTCATTACTAAAATTAATTGAAGTAGATGAATTTAAAAAAACAACAAACAATAAGAAATATTTACTTAAGTTCTTTACGTAATTGACTTAAAAGAATATCTTGTTCATCAATTTTTGTATGCATTAAATTTTCTGCTCGATGAAAATCATCAAGTTTATTACGTAAACGTTTTATTTCAGTATGTAAATGACGATTTTCATCATTGATTTGTAACCATTTACGTTTATATTCACGTAAATATAAATTAGTTTTTTCAACAATTTTTTTAACTGATAAAAATTCTGCGAGAATATCTTCATGTTGACCTCGTAAATGAGTTAACACTTTTGTTGATTGTTCAAAATGTTCATCAATTGAAGCAAGTCTATCAACATCACCACTCAAATCAATTATTTGTTCATCAACATGCGTACTGATATTTGCCCATCGTTCACTGCTTTCAGAAGCCTATTATAACAATGAAATAATGAAAAAACAATGAACAATCTTTTTATGATTTTGTTGATTTTAATTTAAAAATAGCAAAACAAAATATATAGAGATAGATGCAGAGTGAAAATTCTATAACTTACAATAAAAACTTTACTGTTCAACATGATCTAATAGGACTGTTGAAATATATAGGAATATAAATTTGTATCTATACATTCCAAAATTTTCGAATTCGGTCGCATTACAGTTTGATACTCACAATGAAATTTTCAAATCGAAATGGGATACTCATTTCGGAGATACGAAATGATTTTTTTACAATTTTTTGTATGCGGCGACTAGCGTGTCTTACACACTTCTCAGACAATAAGAGAGCATTGAATTTAAAATTTGCAGATCTAGACCTTGAAAGACGTTTTGGATATACGACCAAACACCGTATATCTATAACGGCTTGTTCTAATGCATGAGTTACTAGTTAATAGACAAAATACGACACTCGTCCTGTGAGTAGCAACAGTGGATGCATCGTATTTCACATTCTAATCCCGCCGTGACTTTGCAAAACTAAAATACGTATATCTCAATATAATGAAATTTTCTATAGTTAATTTTTATATGTCATATGTATGTTAGGTTACTATAGATAGAGATGTAAGTCGAACGTCTGAGCCGCCGTTGCCTTAAATAATTATTGGAAATTCCCACCGGCACCACGGCATAAATATAGATATATACTAGCGAGGGTCCGTGCATACTGCACGGCTGTTTTCTCCTTTAACGTATAATCGAAGACGTTTAACTTTTCATTCAGGAACAGACATACAGACACTCGATATTATGTACATAGATAGATAGCCCTACGCCCCGATACTCTTATATCGCACATATTTTTATAGTCCATGTAACCTTCGGCCTTATAGCCGTGTATCCCTTGTAACTGTTCTAGCCTTATCTCCTTATTGTCTCAGTTCCTTGAGAACCTATGGCTGTCCCCATATTATAGCTCTTCATGTCCTATAGATATACCATAAAATAGCCCTTGAGGACCTTCTCCTTATAGTCTTATTTGGCCTTTAACCTTTGATCTTTGACCCGGCACAGAGAAACACACACACACACACAGACAGACACTGAACATTATATATATAGATATTAGATTTTCGAATGTTTTGGACATCCAGAATCAGTTTCCGAGGTCTTTTTAATCTAATTTCTTATGCGCCGACCCGAACATTGGCAACTATAAATACTCTGGAAAATTTAGACGTAGATACCTTTATTCAGAAGAGTTGTCAGTTACAGACAAGCTTTAGTGATATGAATGAAAAAAGAATATCGACTATCGCTGCATGTATTACAGTTGAACAGAAAAAACCTCCGAATTCAGATAAAACTAAATAGTGTAAATCCTATAAATAACTCCTCAGACACAAACATCTCCAACTATAGTTTTTTTTCTGAGCATTCATTGACTTTCCAAAAAATTCGATTTACTTTTCGTTGACAACGTGAAGAAATGAAAAATAAAACTCTTATAATTGAATGAAAAGTTTCTTTATATATCTATACTAATAGAACTTATTCAGAAAAAAAGCTTTGTAAAGAATGAACGTTAATCATATTCTCGAAAATTGTCCGTATATATATATGTTACCTTGCGAACAACTGTTCCAAAACAATCTCCAAGTAAAGCTAATTTTTGTTTATAAATTTTTGCTTCATCCATTGATTGTATTAACTAAATAAAAATAATAATGAATAATAAAAGGTTAGAATATTGTTTTATAATTATTTAATAAACTTACTCGTTCTTTATGTAATCTATCAGATTTTTCAATATCTTGTAAATCATATTGATATTTATTTAATTGTTCATTTAATATTTGATGTTCTTTTTTAAGTTTATCATAATTTGAAATAATATTTGTTAATTCATTTTCAATAGATTTAATTCTTTGTTCACGTTCATAATATTCATCATTTGAAAATCGATGTATTTTTTCATATGTATGAAAATCTTGTTGAATTTGATGAATACGATTTGTAACTAAAGTTAATTCATTTGTTTTTTCAAATAAATTTTGTTTAATAGTTTGATTTTCAATTTCTAATTGAACAATTTGATCATGTGAAATTGATAAATCATTTTTAGATTTTTCATAATCAATTTGAAGATGTGATATAAGATGATTTGATGTTTCAATTTCATGTTGACGATCATCTAAACATTTGATTTTTTCATCTAATAAAATATTTATTTGATTTAAAGTTTTTTTAAAATCACTTTCCTAGAAAAAAAAAAAACTTAAATTCATTTTGTTTTGTTTTGTTTTAGAAATATTTACTTTAATAGTATGATCTTGAATAAGTAAACGAGCTTGATTAAGTTCACTTTTCAATGTATCATTTGTTATTAAAGCACTTTTTAATTGCATTTGTTGATCATTTAATTGATTTATTGAATCATTTGAACGTTTACGTTCTTCATCAAGTTGTCGATTTAATAAAGTTACTTTTGATAAAGATTTTGAAGCTGATTCTGTTTCATCATAAAGAAGTTTTTGTATATTTTCAAGTTCATTTTGATAATTATTATTTTGTTCTCGAATATCATTACGTTCATTAGAAATAATTAAAAGATTTTCTTTTAATTCATCAATATCTTTTAATAAAGCAACTTCATTGCCTTTTAATGCAAATATTTCATTATTTAAATTTTCAAATTCTTGACTATATTTTCGATTTTCATCTTCACGATGCATTGTTATATTTCGTAAATCAGATTCCGATCGTTCGTATTGAATAATTAATGAGTCTCGCTATTAAAAATAAAGAGAACATCATTATTCTATTGATTAATTTGATTTACATTAATCTACTAAATGTCTCATGTTAATTCGCATTACCGTCGGTATACTGCAGTACTCATTTGAACTGATAGCATTTAAATAGTTGGTTGAAGATCGAAGAACAAAATGAAATTTAAACCTGATCGAGGTTATAAGCAAAAAAAATTTGCCGAAATCGGAATTGAAGTTTATATTAAAATATTTTACTTCTTGAATAGTTTTCTCTAGTCGAAAAAATAAAATCATCAGAACCAATACCATTGAAAAAAAAGTTTCCGGAACGAAAAAAAAGTTGGTTCCAAAACATTTTTAATCGTGTTACAATAGTGAACAAAAGCTAGCTGATCGTTTAGGTGTCCAGTTTTGCATCACATAGGATATTATGAAAAAGAAAGTTTGTAGATCTATATGGAAATTTTATCCTTTTAGATTTTGATTAGGTGAATTTATTGATGATATATATTATAAATAAAATTTACAGTTATAGTTTATTTGCCATTTTAATAACGTACATTTTATTTTATGAGTGAATAATGGAAATATTATTGTTCGATTTTGAAAATCTGACAGAATTTAGTATAAATGTCGACAATACTTTGACCATATAATAGAAAAAAAAAATGAATACGAATAAATGTTGTGATGTGCTGTATTCGCATCAGTGATAAGTCTTGAGATTTACTATACGTCTAATAAATTCTAAAAGTCTGTCGCCTTTCTATCTAATAATCATAATCTCCTTACGCTTTTCAAGTCATTTAAATGAGTTTAATAGTTTCATTTGTGCAGAAATAATATCGAAATATAATACGAATCAGCAAAGAAATTAAATCCAGATTTCTCTGCACTTCGACATAAATTATAACATCAAAAATAATTGATTATATTCATGCATAAAGAAATTTTCTAGATTAATTTATTATTTTAAATCTTATTTTCAATTAGAACATTATAATTTAATGATTCATTTCATCAGCTACAGAACGTTATTTCATATGAATATAACGATAAATATATGGAGAAGATTAAGTTTATTATCATTTCGATTGATAAGAGAGAAATAGTCGATGTCTTCTATGGGATAAGTTCATATTAGATTTTTCTTTAAGTTTATTCACAAAACGATTGTTTTATGTAAAGTTTACGTACCACCAACAGCAAAAATCCAGATCAACATCTTTAATGAACTGTACAATTTAAATAACAACTGCATCATAGTAGGCGACCTTAACGCAACATTATATAATATGGGATCAAGAAAAACAAATGCAAGAGGAAGACAGTTACAAGAGGTAATCAATGAAGGTTATTTTAATTATATTGATGATGTTAGTACCACATTTGAAAAGAATGATTATGAAGTAAAGATTGACTGGATATTAGCCACTCAACCTCTTCATTCATTAATATCAAACGTCGAAACCCATCCAACAATCGGTACATTAAGTGGTCACAAACCATTAACCTTTGTTATACCAATTGGATCTGAACCCAAACCTGCATCTCCAAGATTATCCCTTAACTTTAAAGCAGCAAATTGGTCAAAATTTAGAAATAAATTAAATGAACAACTAATGCTATGGAACAAAAATCTTACTATAAATTCAGAACCAGATGTAGAAGAATATACGTCGTTTATTACCAACAGCATTACTACAGCAACACAAGAAGCCATTCCAACATCAAAAAAATTGAACACAAACATTAAACTAAGTGAAGCAACCAAACATCTGATCCAGCTCAAACATAAAACTTATCGTAAATGGAAGAAGACTGGAGAAGATAGTGAAAAACAACAATATTATAAATATAAGTTGCTACTAACAAATTCACTTAGAAACGACAGAAAAATCAACTTCAACAACCTTATGTCGNTTCTCGTGACCCTCGGTGTAGCTAGGGGTGGATTTTTCGATGAAAAAAAAAGTTCATTAAAACATGCCAAATATATATGACTCGACGTAGTTTTCGATGCTGATTCCGAATATGTGAAACAATCAATAGACTTCTATGAAAGTTTTCAGAAATCCAGCGTGGTTTTCCAGAGATCTTCTGAGAAACCGATCTTCCAATTTTTTCTCAGAAAAAATTTTGCTTATGAAAATATGCTCCTGGATCTTGACTATCAAACGGTGAAAACCGCAGATCTCTATCTTGTTCCTATCAAACGTTATTCAAAAAACATCCGACTGCCTTGAATTCTGGCGCCGATAGTAGTAGGAGATTTTTGTGATCGACTGGTTAAAAAGTAAATTCTAGTTTGGTCAAAAGATGAATATGCCGACCTTTAATAAAATATCAAGGGTGTAGCTGGATATTAATGTCGGATGTGGATGAAGAGAAGACTCTAACAGCTACAGCCATATCTACACTCTTTATTTTAATAATTTTTCTTTCTATATTTCTTTTATTCGAGAATTTAAAATTTTAATTTTTATACACTTCGGTATTTTTATCTTTTGACATTTTGTATATGAAAATTGATCTGTTTATAATATCAATTAATAAACTAGCGTAGTTCTTTTGAGAAATAGTCTATTATCTTCGTTCCATGAAAACATCAAATCTAAAATTCATATATTTCTTAGTATTTCTAATAGTAATAACTCTGGATTCATTCTGTTATATTTCATGTAGGCAAAGAGCAAAAGAACATACGAAAAACTATTTTAAAACATTTGATCTAGTAACTCACAACAAACACTGTAATCTTGAACAATATTTTCACTTTGGTTTGGTGGACTTTTTTCAATAAAGATTTGATTTCTTTACAAGAATTAATAATTTCGATGTTTTTATATTTTTGAAATTATTATTTAAGAGAGCCGTAAAACATTTCAATTCATAAAAGGATATTATTGTCGACTGGATGATAAAGTGAGCTAATAATAGTACACTTTTTATATTAGACTTGATACTTTCACAGGTTTTCTGTATTGAGAAAAGTAAGATTTAGTGTCATAAAATGACTTTCTTTTTTGCTTATTTTAACACCATATCTACTAAAATGATCATAAAAAAATGAATGGAAAAGAATTTTAAACTTCTGTTCGCACGAAAACTCATAAGAGATATTGGTTTTTATTTGAAATCAGCCAGAGATATTTGTACCTCTTGTAATGGCAAAGTCACATGAATTCTCTTCCAGGCCATAAATGAACTATTAATAAACCGGGAGTTCATACTAATTTGATATATCGGGCTGAAGTTTCAATCAAAATCGTTTCTCATTAGGATTACTCAATTCTGAAAATTTCAGTTCAAATGAATTATTCTAAGTGGTAAATCTACCGTGAGGAAAACTTCCCTAAGTATAAAACTATTTAGTATACCAACGATTTTTATCCGGTTTGATTTATACTATAGTAGAATAATGATCAAAGATGGTGTTACTCTCTAATAAAATGTTTGTCAACGTTATTCGTGTTTGAAATTCTACTTACGTAACATTGAAAATATCCGTAAATCGAAATAAATTAAGAAAAATGTTTTTTGTTTTGTTATCTGTCGATAAGAAGTAAAAGTTGAAAAGATCTTTATATTCTTACGTTAATAAATTTTGTTCATAGAATTCAAGTTGTTCAAGTATATCAATTTGTTTTTTTAATAAATTTGTATAATTTTGTTGACGAATATTTTGAAATTGGTTATTTATTTTATTTCTTATAATCTTAAAAGAATTATGAATAGAAACTAAAATGAAAAAATTCGAAAATATTTTTCCGAAAAATTTTTTTTCTTAATTAACCTTTTAATTGATATTGATTTTTATTTTCTAATTTATTCAATGTTGTTTTAATCGATTGTCGTATATCATCAACATGTTTTTCATTACAATTTATACATTTTGTATAATTACAATGTTCACATAATGTTAATATTTCCATTTTTTGACATGATGAACATTTACCTTTTATTGGTTGAATATCCAGTAAATTTATTATTAAAAAATTATTCGGTAATTCATTAAGATTTTCAGTTAATTTGATATTTTGTTGACATATTGGACTTAAGGAAAAGTAGATAAATAAAAGAAGAAGAAAAAAAGAACAAGAATTTATGAACAAACCATATTAATGTTTGATTTTCTGTATCATAAATGTCTAATTAGAAATATATATAAGTTTTTCAGAATAAAATTTAATCAAAAACAAAAAAATACTTTGTAAACATGCTAAGCAAAAAGTATGTTGACATTGAAGAACTTTTGGTATTCGAAAACGTTCAAGACAAATTGTACATTGTAAAAGATTATCAAGATTTTCAATCTTGTAAAGATTGGCCATCATAATAGTTTCTCAAAGCGAATATCATATGTCATATTTTTGTTTTTAACCACCTGCAAATGATTCATCGATTATTTCTATTGGAGGAAGAAAACAAATGATGTTACAAAAGTTTTATGTAGTACTGTATTTACCGTCTGACGTTGAATTAAATAAATATAGTTGAACAGACAATAATTAGTTTATTTTATTATAATTATGGCATTGAAATATTTTTAGAGCTAAATAAAAGATTAATTGATTTATATGTAAATCTTGTCAGATAGACTAATTAATATAAAGAATATTTATTGATCATATTCAAATTAATAACAGTGAAACTGAAATCAGCAAAATATCGTTTGAAATGGAGGAAATTATATTTTTGACTCAGTTTAATTGATATGCACAACAACAATAATAAAATAAACAAACATTTGGTTTGTTATTTTTTGAGAATAACTTATGAAAATGTTAAACACTTTTTTTTTATATTGTCAGAATTTTGACAGATTAACAAAGAAATCGTTCTAAGTCATATTTATTTAATTTATTCTTCTTTAACTGATGATAAGAGGTGATTATTATAATTATATAAGGACAATTCTAATAAATCCGTTATAACCATTTCTGTTGCAATGGAAAATTCTTTGAATAATAAGGAAATTGATATACTTGCTTCAAACTCATGGAATAAAAACCGCTGGTTAATTGCGGTTTACCGATAAATATTTTTTTCGAACAAAACTGATCGCTTTTGATTGATATAGAATTTGAAGAAATTGAGACTTTTTCAGACAATTTTTGAATTTTCATATTTTTTTCATAGTTTAATTTGATGTTAACATGATGAATCCGCCTGAAACATTAATAGAGGATAAAAATTTCTTTTACAAATACTGCAGTTCATCACTAAAACTAATCCAGTATTGGCAACATGGAAATATACTTTTGTGGATTGATTACATCAATCTTCTTGTTTATTCTGTTCTTATTATTTGTGTAAACATGATTATCTTTGTTGAAAAAATTTTGGCAAATTATTGAATAAGTCAATAAAAACATAAACTTTTTTTAATGATAATTATAATGAAATGAAATATTCTCATTCTTATGTCATTTCGTCTTATCAATTTAGTAATCATTCTGTTCATGTTCTGACCGCTCTTTATATATATGACTCTTCTCTCCTCTCATCACCGATACGCTTGGTTGCTTTTCTCCCTCTCTATCATTGATATAAATATAAACATGTGTATTTAGACAGACTAGATGGTATTGTAGTATGAAGAGATAAAAAATAAACTAAAAATTCTCATCTTACGAATGTCCTTGAACTTAGGTTTGTCATTATAATCTTGTCTATTGTATAGAATTATTTCCAACTAGTTGATTTTATTAGATGATGTTGTTTAATCAAATATTTTTAATGCACTAACAGTATATTTATAAAAAATAAAAACGACCTTTGTTTTTAAGATATAAGTTTATTAATAGAATACTAAACAAAACAATCTAAGCATGACGTCTTTAACAGAAATGTTTTTTGTATGGAGACTATATATAATTTACTTATTTTTTTTTTCTTTCGAATTCTCTACACCAATGCAATATTAATGTATGGTCTAGTTTTTGTTAGATGTTTTTTTGTTTTTGGTTTTGTATTAGAATAGCGCACACTATATGTTAAATGAAAAAAGAAATAGGCATGAAGGTACACCTTCAATATATTTTGACGATTGATTAGAGAAGAGAAAGAAAGGTCGGCATAGTTGTACTTTAAACAACTGACAGAAACTAAAAGGAAAGAAAACATCATAACATAACAAGTGCGTAATCAAAAATACAAACCTTGTGTGTTTGTTTGTTTCTAATTTCTTTTTTGTTGTGAGATAAAATAAGTCATGCTCAGCAATTTTCGACAGGTAATAATAAATATTTCTTATTTATTCATCATAAAATATTTACGTATAGATCTTTACTCGAACAATTCATCCAAGACTATTATCAAACAATGTTCGTTTGAGTTCATCAGATGCTAATAAACCATCTGTAATATAAATATTTATCCTAAAATCTATATTAAATTCCTGTTTTTATTTTAGGTTGCAGCTAATGTACCTAACCATTTATGGAAACTTGGTAAAATCAATCATATTGCTGTAGCTGTTCCTAATTTAGGTCATAGAAATAAATAAATAAGCTTCTTTTCCGACAATAGAAATATATTTTAGATGAAGCAAGTCATTTTTTTAAAAATGTTCTTCATG